GCTCCTGACTGCAACCGTCATCAGTTGGCAAATCCCCAGTGCACGTCATCAGTTGGCAAATCCCCAGTGCACGTCATCAGTTGGCAAATCCCCAGTGCACGTCATCAGTTGGCAAATCCCCAGTGCACGGTGTGCCGGTTGTAGTTATCACTGTTTTCAACACAGTGCGGCGTCCTCCGCCTTGTAACATGCTCTCAGCCAATCATAAGTTATTGAACCAAACCAGGCTTACCTAAACGATTTTTTGTCTGATGATTGCCTTAGCATTTAGCTACGTGCATGAAACGCAGCATTACAACGTATGTATATTATTATATAATTGGTGAAACCATTCTTTTTGACCTTTGTGGTTACGCTCCGCCCTTGTGGTGTTGAGCACTGTTGAAACCTGGGTATACCCACTTATGTAAACGATTTATTACATGTGTTTCAACATAAAATTATTTAAAATTGATGTCTGCTGCTTGGCTGTTTGAAGAAACCTGAGCAAAAACTGATTGTCCTTGGCGGAGACCCAACGGCTTCCATTGTAAGCAGCTCTCAACATTCAACGCCTTTATTTACCACTGTTATCTATTACTCTTGTGACTAGTGCACTGCTGTTAGTCACCGCTGAGAGAAAGTGTAGCCTTTCGGCTTTCAAGGGAGTTTGAAACGTTCGCTCCGAAGTAAAAGAGAAAACCTGCAACATAGAGGGACGAAAGTAGGACTTGCAACCATAAGATTCTCAAGCACCTAGATGTATGTTGATCACTCAGCCACCCAGATGCTGACGCTGAAGTCCGTTGGAAGTCCGTTCGGCTTCTAAAGCCTTTCCTTTTTTCTTTTTTGCTCATAAATCAGCCTCGTGTTCGGGCAAAACAAAAGAATACTTAGTATGATTATGCAGTTAGCATGCACGGTACTATGCAGTAACTATAATACACTGCTAAAACAAGTGAAACTTAGTCCAAGCACCTTTCAAATTATGTCGTTTTATAGAAAGCTAGTGAGAGGCCTCAGGCGGCAGGCGTGCCTCCGCAACGACAACCGCAACTTAGTGCTGCCGCTTACACAATAAGATTGTAATTTTATTACTACAAAAGGAATAGAATGGTATACGGAGCTTGGGTTGGCTGTGACTCAGAGTTTCACGCCTGTGGCGATCATCAGACAGCAATGATTACAAAAACTCAATGAAAGTTCTTGATATAGTGTGGTGGGGTAAGTGCTAGTGGAATCAGAGAATTTAAGCGCAAATAAGGTCAAGCGGTGATTCTATGCATGTACTTGCAAGATCAGCGCCGGACATCAGGTGTAATCCTGGTTTATGTAACTGAAGAACATTCATTGAGTTTTTGTAATCATTGCTGTCTGATGATCGCCACAGGCGTGAACCTCGGAGTCACAGCCAACCCAAGCTCCGTATACCATTCTATTCCTTTTGTATGAAGCTCTGCACCCCGGTGCATTGAGCACTCTTTCGAGGACCACACCCAACTTTCCGTGTGTAATTTTATTACTATAGAGTATACTGGGCAGTGTGCTCGGAGACAAGAATGCAATCCCACAAGACGAAAGGCAAACGTCGGGCTCTTGAGTATACTTGACACTTTCTGTTATTGTCCCTTTTTTGGCTTTTGCCTGTGTTTCACAGACACACACACAGACAGATGACAGCTAGGCACTTAGATCCAACCGCAAAACCCACATGAAAACACATTATCATAAAATGTAGTGGAGTAAGGATACATTGCTCAAAACATGCAGACATGTCGTAATCCCATGCAGTAACCGGCAGTGGTAAAAGGGTTAAACGGTGACACAAGGTGTGAGCACTACCACGCGCATAACCCTAAAGCGAGTTCAAATTCAAACGGAGCCCAAATCCTAAAAAAATCAAATTCAAACAAATGACAGGAAACTTCACTGCACTGGCAGCTTCAAGTATTATCAGTAGCATGTCTTACAATGCTGATGTTATGGACAACAAGTAGCTAAAACCTACGCCTTAGTGCAGGCCACACACGCCGTACATGGTTTGGGTTGGTTCTTATTACGGAGGATTAGCAAGATGAAATTCGCGTTCGCAAACATTTTTCAGTTTGCGCACTGGATTGTGAACTTTCGCATTTTTCGTTAAGAAAAGTAGTCGAAACACGAATCGCGGATTCGTGTCAGGGTCCTCATAAATTTACCACGCTGTACTGTCTGTAGACAATGACTATGTACGTCGTGTCAACGTCTGCATGTACGAATTCTGTTTGCGCAATCTTTCTCATAACGCGAATTCCGTCACTGAGTTCGACTTTCCTTGGAGAGCGAACGCGAACGCGAATTTCGTCTTGCTAATCCTCCATAGTAGTTCAGTTCGTTGCCTCAATAGTACAAAGTACAAAATATATATCAAGAGGGGCGAACCAAAAGAGAAAGTAAAGAGCAGAACTCAACTTTACCGGCTTTTTATTGCCATACTGTTGCCTTGGTAACTGGCAAAAAGTGCATACTCATGTCGTCTCATGTTCCCTGCCGACGCCATGGCAATCTAGACCAGGTCTTTCTCAGCCTGCTTCATGGGCTGATTTCCGCATAGCTACGGTCCACTGTGCTGGGTTGGGTTGGTGTTGTGACAGACCGTTTCTCCAGGGACTAAGTCACCGTCGCTATGCAGCCCTCCTTTCTTGAACCTGAACATTACAGGAATTGACATGTGCAGAGGAGAATGACGTCTTAACTTAAAGCACTTTGCAGAGAGATGGTACGCTTTTGCGGCTTTTCCTTTTTCCCTTTTCACAAAGGAATGGAATACTAGGCCGGTAAGAAGGCAATCATGCCTGTGCAATTGGTGAAGTAAAATAAAAGTCAACAACAACAACAACAACAACAACAAGTTAACCCTTTACCGGCAGCCCCATACTTGAATGCGTCGTAAAAACGACGCATTCGACATGCATACTAAAACCATGCCTGGTACGACAGGAAGCATCAGCCCACGGGCATTTCCCGTGGCCCTCACACAGCCTAGGTATGATCCTATTCGTAGCTGAAGAGATCTACGCGTGTCCCATTTGATTTCATTGAGAACTGCGCGATCGAAAACTTACGGAAATACACGCGCGCCGACAATGCCGTCTGACTCCGTCAAAACGCCGTCAGATGCATTTCCTCTTGCGCAGTGAGTTTCTTTCGTCCTCAGATGACTTCTCCGACGAGGACCTAGTAGACCTTCGCTCTGGGACCGACAAATAGATAAATACTTCGTTCCAGCCGCCGATGCAAGCGAATTTCAAATTGCGGAGCGGAGCGCACGCCAAGAAAATTCTCACGCAAATATCGGGAGCTTCAGCTTACAGAGACGCTTTGTTTCCAGCGCGACAAACACCTCGTGAAGCCCCAGGTAGCAGCGTGAGTCAGAGTCGCTCATGGAGTTGTGCTAAACAGACGTTGAGAGCCAGTATAGCTATTCACAACGCTGTCACCTCCAACAACTAGTCGCACGTCCACGTGAGGGACAACAATACGAACTTAGAAGTTGCGACTTCGGCGGTAATAGTCTTGAAGTTGGTTGCTCCAACGAGGAGCACACGCTTCTTGCCGAACTTGACACTTGACTGACTCACGACTGCCATCCGGAGCACACGAGGAGCACGTCGCACCTTCCGCTCGGCAAACCTGAAAGAAAGCACCACTCCCTGCTCAATACACAGTGTTTCGGGGAATTCACCCCTCATCAGTTGAGCTTGACTAGGCTGAGGAAGATTGTGCCTGAAAAGCACCACTTATATACTGCTCTCCAGGCCAAACCATCACCAGGGATACAAACTTACAGAGACGCTTTGTTTCCAGCGCGACAAACACCTCGTGAAGCCCCAGGTAGCAGCGTGAGTCAGAGTCGCTCATGGAGTTGTGCTAAACAGACGTTGAGAGCCAGTATAGCTATTCACAACGCTGTCACCTCCAACAACTAGTCGCACGTCCACGTGAGGGACAACAATACGAACTTAGAAGTTGCGACTTCGGCGGTAATAGTCTTGAAGTTGGTTGCTCCAACGAGGAGCACACGCTTCTTGCCGAACTTGACACTTGACTGACTCACGACTGCCATCCGGAGCACACGAGGAGCACGTCGCACCTTCCGCTCGGCAAACCTGAAAGAAAGCACCACTCCCTGCTCAATACACAGTGTTTCGGGGAATTCACCCCTCATCAGTTGAGCTTGACTAGGCTGAGGAAGATTGTGCCTGAAAAGCACCACTTATATACTGCTCTCCAGGCCAAACCATCACCAGGGATACAAACTTACAGAGACGCTTTGTTTCCAGCGCGACAAACACCTCGTGAAGCCCCAGGTAGCAGCGTGAGTCAGAGTCGCTCATGGAGTTGTGCTAAACAGACGTTGAGAGCCAGTATAGCTATTCACAACGCTGTCACCTCCAACAACTAGTCGCACGTCCACGTGAGGGACAACAATACGAACTTAGAAGTTGCGACTTCGGCGGTAATAGTCTTGAAGTTGGTTGCTCCAACGAGGAGCACACGTTTCTTGCCGAACTTGACACTTGACTGACTCACGACTGCCATCCGGAGCACACGAGGAGCACGTCGCACCTTCCGCTCGGCAAACCTGAAAGAAAGCACCACTCCCTGCTCAATACACAGTGTTTCGGGGAATTCACCCCTCATCAGTTGAGCTTGAGTAGGCTGAGGAAGATTGTGCCTGAAAAGCACCACTTATATACTGCTCTCCAGGCCAAACCATCACCAGGGATACAAACTTACAGAGACGCTTTGTTTCCAGCGCGACAAACACCTCGTGAAGCCCCAGGTAGCAGCGTGAGTCAGAGTCGCTAAGTTCTTTGAAATGACTTATAGAAATCATTTGTCCGCATGCGGTGCAAGCAGGAAAACGTTATTGTGACCGTCAGTCTACGTAACACTCGTACTTGCAGCAGACTTGGACCCGCCGACTTTTAAAGGGGAACTCCACGAAAAATAAAACTTTGATAGCCTGTAGAGTTTCGGGCGCTGAGTCGAATGGTCTTGGTCCGAAGTCTCTACGACGAAGCGTTCTTGAGATATTTCACTTTGAAATTGCAAAAACGGGGGCCGCGCCCTGACGTCATGCGGCCATTTGGTTACATCATCACGGGCTGCCTACGTCATTGTGGCAAAGTCGTTTCTCTTCGCCAATCTACAAGCACTAATTTTAGTTGGTATTTCAAGGGAAGATGAGCGATTCCGAACATTCCTCTGTCTCCAGCAATGAAGGCAGTGATGCTGAGGCCAGTGAAGATGACCAACAGCCCACCGCCGCGTATGGTTGGGGCAGGGAGCCCAGATACTCTGCTGAGGAGCTGGCATCGCGTGTAGTAAATGTTGAGGAAGAAGATGCCTCAGCAGCTGCGTCCGACATGATTGAGGAGGAGTACGCTTGGCCACCAGTATCGCGAGTGGGAAACACCGACTGGTGCGAGTGTGGACAAAAGTGTACGGCCATGCCCAACCGCTTGGAATGCCTTTGTTGCCAAGATGCAGCCGTCACTGTTGAGTTGGTGAGACGGTACGACGTCTCTTGCATTACTGACCTGGCAGATTACGATATCGTAATCTTGCACCGAGGTGTGCTGAGTACTGCTCTACGAGGTTACTTCGACATGCGAAAGCAACCCATGCCTGTGACGGAAGAACCTGACAACAGGTAAGCCTCAGGTGTGCATGTGTGTCTTGACTTGTCCCGTGTGAGGATCGCGATACGCGTACTTTTTTGTGTTGTTATTTTTATTGTTTTGAGGCATCGCATGAAAAAACATTGTACTACTACAACAGTTACTAGTACCCAAAGTTTCACGTGTGACCAAGAACAGTTTCATGTTCCCTTGGATTTGGACATGTACAAGCCCTGCAAAGAATGGTTTTTGTTCTGTTGGGGAAGAGAGCACTGCACAGAGTTTATAGGCACACCGCAGACATTTGATTATACCTGGACGGCACATTTATCAATTCTCAAAAACCCGAAATGAGCAGATTCCCGCCATGTAAATGAACAGCTGGACTTTGCCTTTAATTATGGACTAGGGATTGAGTGCTCACAGCCGTGGAAGATCACATATACAACTCTGCGCGCAAATCAGTAGTATACATGTACCATGGCTTGCAGCAATAGCAGCAGCATACAAGTATACACCAAAATTAATGCGTAAATTCTGGCGGGAGAGTCACTTGGTAATGGGCAGAATTAGAATCTGTACAGTCATTCTGACGAAGAAATCTACATGTATGTTATTGAATGCACTCAAATGAGTGTCCAACCCCAGATAATTGGACGTCAATTTAAAATCAACAAGTGAAATTCTACGATTCTACTTCATTTCGCTTACGGGAAACGCGTCGCGAAAAAGTCGGTCTGAGAAAGCCGTCGCGTGACGGTCGCCGATGGCTTTCCCGTTCGCGACATGAAGTATGAATCGGCCTATAGGTGCACTGATAGTGCAGGCGGGTACATGTACGTGCACCACAAGGGATATGTACATGAAGAGTAAATGGGAAGTTATACTATAATTATTGTACAGCAGTGTGGTATGTGTCCGAGCACTCAACATACACACTCAATATGAAATCCTATGCTGGTGCAGATCTCTACGCTATGCGGCATACAGGCAGTACACATTGTATGTACATGGAAAGCTGGGCAAGCACGTTCGTTGTCGAATTCCAGCCTGCGTTGTCAACACCATCAGGCAAAGATATCCTAATCCTGCAGGTGAGAGAGTAACGGATACACAGAATAGATACTCCACTTGCATTACTTATGCTTACTAGGAACACATTTTTCCCAGAAAGCATCTGGGCGCAAGAATCTCTCTGTGTGCGGGCGTCTGTCTTTATTATTATCAACTTGGGCTGTTTTCCCTTTCTTGTTCTCACATCAGGTGTTCCTTATCAAGGTTTCAATGAGGCAAGTGAAGACATTGCACAGTGGCCAGAAAACTAATACATCCCGTAAGTACTGATGACTAATAGGAATGATGTTCATTCACTGCAAGGTATGATTTTTGAAGAGTATTGTATGTCCATTTTGCATCTACAATTTTAAACCGATGTAGTGACAGCATATACAGGCAGTATTGCTCACCTTAGGCTTTTTTCTTTTCCAATCTAGATGTCAACTTTGCCACCACCTCAGCCTTCTCAGGAGGGTTTCGCCTGGAAATCGGCAGGGAGACGCGCTTCTCCAAGGCAGGGACATCAAGCTCGCCATGTGCAACCGCCACAACGTCACACATTAGTTTGTCCACGTACGCATAGCTCTTTCTGTCATATATCTTTTTGGCCACGTAATCTCCTTTGTGCCTTGAGAATTGAACCTTGTACCTTCCTTCCCCGGTCTTTTTGGCTTTGCTATGGTGACGGTTGACATTGAAGTTGTGGTCAAGTGCCGCGAGCTGTGTGCGTACAATCATGCCCAGAATTGAGAAGTGAATGCGTTTGGGAATGTACTTGGTCATGACGCTATGATATACCTGCATGGGAAAGAGAATGTGGAGAAAACATACTTGCTTTAGAATACACTGCTGTATGAGGTAATTGGCTGGCAGTACCCAAACTGGAGTGAGACCAAGCAAGCTTGATCAAGAAACACACAGTAACAATAGACTGAAAGTGATAATTATACAATTATGTTGAAACCTCTCACCTCCAAACTTCCGGTGTGGCAAAATTTGGTCAACTTGTCCATGTCTTTGAGGAGTTTCTTGTCCAAAAGGATGCCTTTCAATGCTTTGTAAGGTTCTGAATCTATGCACAAAGGAGTAGCCAGAGGATACAAATATAGAATGCAGAACCTCTGGTGATAGTATAACACCTTCATGATAGTCAATGATAGCAGCCTGACACGTCAACACAACAGTAAACAATTTTAAAAAACGCGTCTGCACTGCGCTAAAGCAATACACTTGGACAGGGCGTCCCATGGGCCATGTCAGGTAAACACGTGTAAGAAATTCTGCTGTGAAATTACCTACCAGCTTTGATCCATTTGATGGCTCGTTCATCTTCGCTGCTCAATGCAGAATGTGCACAAGTGCTGCACAGCTGCCCTCCCGTCCATGCGTGGGTGTTGCAGACGTGGTACAGCACTGACTGCCAACGTTCTTTCAGCAAGTCAGCACTGCCGTCACAGTTACTACAACACCACCAGAAGTGGCTAATTATGGCGGGAATCCAAGCCAATAGCGGGGCATGGCTCTTGCGATGGCAAGCAGACCGCAGCTTGCTGGCCACATTCTTGGCAAAGTGCCACACATCAAATTGGTGGCATATGCCAGGGTACTGGTCGCGGATAGTTGCCTTGATGGACGGGCTTCTGTCCGTCACGACGACATCGACAGCCAGGGCTTCCTTGCAGCGATCAAGAACCCTGATAAATCCGGCCTTCTCCATTGCTACAGAGCTGTTAGTCTCTGTGCACTCCACCACTTCGAAATCGACTAGCAGGTTAGTCTCGGCATCCAGGAAGGTGTATGTGCCAAATTTTGCGGAATAGCCAGGGCTATCGCATCGCCCGTCACCGCACAACACAAGTTTGCGACCTAGAAGAGAAGGAACACAGATCCATAGTACAGATACACAGTCACCCTCCCGAATGTCTACCAGAATTTAGCACCACCCAAATAACGGTATTATTACTTGGAGCAAAACTAATAACTACTTGATTACATTACATTACATTGTACACGCAGCCTACCTTGTAACAGGTTCCAGACACGCATTTTCTCCCTGGTCCAAGCGGCTCGTATGACGGGAAGAATGGTCGACTTCTGGTGGCGGAAGAACAGGCTATGCCCAATGAAGGCCAGTTTGAGAAATTTCGCGAACGACGCAAACTTCTCGTAGCAGCCACCACTAAAGATGATTGCAGCTGCGATTAGGAGATTAGCTGAACATAGAAAAGAAATAAGTAAAAGCAGTGATTGGAGCCGATATGTCAGGGATTTGAGGGACATGTTCTCTGAAACAGAAAAGTGAGGTTGAAATTTGTAGCCATCTAAACCATAAACCACTGCGTGAACGTAAGAACCATTCCATGCACTTACCGATAGGCTGTTGGCGCTTCACTAACTCTTGAGAGTGCCAAGTCTGGGTGCAACCGTTCGCGCAGGTGGTATGGACGGTTAGCATAGAGCCATGCACAGCTTCCTTCTTCTCTAGAATTTGGGAGCCACATGCAAGGCAGCGAGATAGCAGTCGATTTAACGATGACTTCGACACTAGGTACATCTCACTAGTGCCGTCGTCCATGGGGTCGTCATCATCATCATCCTCATCATCATCCTCATCATAAGACTCAGTATCACTGAGCGTGGAGTCACTCTCACCAGATGCAGTAGATGGGCTGATGAAAAGATGGGGATACATAGCCGGCTTTGTTGGAGTCTTCTGCACGTCTGCCCTAGAAGACATACATACGCAGACAGAGATACAAGTCGCGGATTGGATGGATGATATTACTCCCCGACAGTTTTGCCCAAGACAAATCATGGAAGCTTCAGAACATCGCGTTCTTATTGCACTGCAAGTCACGACTTCTAAAATGTTTCAGCCTAAAGCCTAAAGCGTACATGGCAGTCACCTTTAGAGCCACACACAGATACAACAATATTCCACTCCTGTCCCTTACTTCGCAGGAGACGGTTGCATGAATTTCGGTGTAGCCGGTGATAGAGCTTCAAGCCTGTCCACGTGTCTGCAGCATGGGAGTGTGCACAGGAAATAGAAAGTACACTAAGGACGACAGTTTTCCTACCCTGATAGTTGTTCTCAATTACGTTGGGACTATTATCGCTATTCAGATTCTAGCAACTGTACTGAGTGGTACGATATTCATGCAACCACGCCTAAAACAGTAACCGCTATAGACAGAGATATATGCACACAATCAACTTACTCTGGTTCAGTTTGGCAGGATTGGTCAGACATTTCCTTGTGCATGCTGCCTGCGCATCGCAAGCAAACATGTCTGTACCCTTCGTACTTGCTCGGGGGGTCGTGTGTTTGTGTTGCAGTTGATGAGAACGAAGGGTTTACAGTTTGCGTACCAACGTTAGTGGGAGTACATGTACATGGCTCATCAACCTCGACCTCAGGTTCATCGACCTCAGCTGCAATAACTGTTGGAGTTGATGGCAATGCAATCTGAGGATATACAGGCAACATTGATGAGAACGGAGAAACAGTAGAGTCGCAGCATGAGGACTACATCCAACATCAGACCCAGAAAATTTCAAAAGTTGCATGGCACGTACCTCCTGCTTACTCAGTTGCAGTTTGTTGAATTTCCGCTTCGCTGGAGGCTCACGGTCCGGAAAAACTGAGGGCACTGCTCCATGGGTGAGTGTCTTCCTGGACGGAGTATTCATCAACTCGGCTCTCAAGTCCCTCTGTATCGCGAAATCCTCTTTGCAGAAATGCAGGGAACAAACGTAGCTAGTGCTGCGAAAATCCGCTGGCAAGTTCTCCCGACGTATAGCAACATCCCAGCGCTTTGCCAGGTCGTCATGCTTGGGAAATCTGTGAAAACTAACCCCAGGAGGATGATTTGCTCTACTGGAACAACCGACCACACAACAATTCGGCATCACGGTAGTTCAGGTGAAATGGCAAACTTTCCTAAGCAGGAAGGGAAATTGCACTTGACAAAAAGAAAGTGCGATCCCAAACCCTGCTAGTTTCGCACTTTGCCACAATGACGTCACACATACATTGGTATAGGGGCGTGTCTAAAATTGAAATATCTCAAGAACGCTTCGTCGTAGAGGCGTCGGACCAAGACCATTCGACTCAGCGCCCGAAACTCTACAGGCTATCAAATTTTCATTTTTTCGTGGAGTTCCCCTTTAAGGAGCGATCCGGAGACAAATGAGTCGGGTGCACTAAACTTATCAAAAGGCTGTGCTGAGCTCTTTCAGCAAAAGGATAATTGTCCTGATGTACTAAGTATTGTCCATATTTTCAAAGTACGGCGAATTAAAATACCTTTGAAATCACACTAGGGCTGGAAATGAGACAAAACTTGAGACAGACCTGTTTAGATGCTGCACGACATCCTTCCTTACCGAACGGACGCTCCAGGACTTGATAGCGGAGTGCATGGAAGGGGACACCATGGAATTCAACCGGCATGCAGAATGTGTAGAGCCGCCAGGAATAGCAATGATCTTTGGCAGCTAGGATATCAGTAGCACTGGAAGACAAAATCAACACATAGTGCACGCATGTGCAGTCTTCACACTATGAACCATTGATCACACCAGCAAACATAAGGAAATGCCCCCTCTTACAAAAGCTGCACAACTTGATAGTGTAAAGATATTCAAGAAGATATTAGGTCACTTGCATAGACACCGTCCACGGTACTCCTGACTCTCTCGTGGCAGTAGTTCCCTAAGAAGTGCATCAAGATCCTCACTTGAGGCAAAATGGAGTTTGTGGATTCAGATTATACTGTTTGTATGAAGCAGCGCTATTCAGGAATGCTGTTGCTTCAACAGTTTTCGTACAACCATTCTGGGGAAGCAAGGTCGTCTGCTGCATTGTAACTAAGTACCCAACAGCGGACGATTACCAAGAATATGTACGAACACATGCGTCTGGTGTGATCCGGATAACTTGCTGTGCGATGCGTCACTGGTGTCTTCAACGTCACCGAGACGCAAGGTAAGGTCTAGCACAGGACTAGCTAGTTAGCAAGGTGGCTGTTTGCTCAATTGTGACAAACTAAAGAGTAGACTAGCACTGATTTTTCCTGCGTACGCTGCTATCACTTTACTGGCTATGTATGGCAATACATGTCCATCAATACAAGCCTGCCAAGGTGAACCGGCTGCCACAAGACCGACCTTTCTCCGGGAATAATTTGCGCAGCTGTGGTAGCCAGTTTAATACTGATCGCAACGATAAGGTGGGCAATGCCTCGCCGGTGTATTCATCGTCAATGGTACGCTAGGCTAGGTAAGGTCTAGCACAGGATTTATAAATTTTACCATGGGCTAGTTGGTTAGCAAGGCAGCTGTATGCTCAATAGTCACAGGCTAAACGGTAGACTGGTACTGACTTTCCCCTGGTGGGGACTTTTCCCTGGGTAGGCTGCTGTCAGGTTCCTGCCTATGTATAACACTACGGGTCCACCAACACAAGGAGATGATTGCTTGACAATCTTGTGCATGCCTGCTACACTGGTCATACTTTGCAATGTGCACCGGAGATATCGAGCTGGAATTCTGGAGTGCTGCAGTGATGTGCAGATACCATTGGCGTCATTATGCATACCGTCAGTGCTACTACACCTTCCTGCTACCCGCTCTCCGCTATTGTTCCTTGTCCTTACTTGCTGCAGTGAACTGGTTATGGAAAACCAAGAGCTACACATCATTGATGGGAGTTCAGCTCTTCTGGATATTTTAAATCCGCTCTGCCTCGGGCAAACTTTGTGAAGAACAGAAACGACTTTGACCGTAGGTAAGAGTACTGTGTGTTTATAACTATCAGATGTACAACCCTTGCAAGCATATGTATGGCCATAGTGGTCATGCAGTCGATGTCATTACGCATGCAAGTTCAACGTGCTATTGCAGCAATGGACGCGGAAGGTGGAGAAGCAACCGAGATGGACGGCGACTTGGCCCACAGCGAAGGTGAACCAGTTTCAAGGCAGGACCACACCCTCGCCCGATTGGCGCAACTGATCGCTGATCAAGCACCGCAGGCTTCTGCCCGGGATGACCGAATGGTGGCGCTGCTAGCCGCTGCGCTGAGCCAGGGTGCAAGAGGACCCCAGAGGGCAAGTCAGCCCACAAAGCAGACCTCCATCAATGTTGAACGCCCAATTTTGGACGCTACCGCCACCTTGGCAGATTTCACGACGTGGAAAGAATCATGGGAGGACTTTGTACGCTGCCAGCACCTCAGGTCCCAGGACCGAGAAACCAGAGAGGCAGCACTGAGACAGTCCTTAGATGAGGAACTCCGGCGATATATCCGCCAAGACATAGTCTGTATTTCCGAGGAGGACGATGATGACGCTATCATCGGGGCCATCGAGGCGTTTGTAAGACGTCGTCATAGCCCTTTACTGGACAGATTGGAGTTCTACAATTTGAAAAAAGACGATCATAATAATGGCTTTTACAGTACCCCTCATGTATTTGCTTTTGCTTTGACTTTTTTTTTAATGAAACACCAATCATTTGACTACTGATAGTTTTCCGAGAGTACGGTGAAAATTCAAAGCGTTCTCCAAAATAGGATTGTCCACATTTTCAGACACAATGGGCGAGACGGATAGCACTTTCACTGGCCATGACTGATTTGCACACAGCTTGCCTGGGATATGTTGAAAATGAAATTTTATAACCGTGTTTACAACCTCTATCTCTCTCCCCCCCAAAAAATTGTTTTAACATTGTCCAGGTATTTATCTTGGATACTCAGCTAGTAATAAATGTTGTAACAAGATGATAAGCAGTCAAGAAAGTGCAATAATAGGGCACAAACTGACAAGTTAGTGAGACATTCAATGACCTGAGGCGTTTCTTCTATTTTACATTTATTACTAGCTGAGTATCCCTCATGTTTCCTATGTCCATGTATTCTATTTTGGTATTCTATTTTGGTCTTGCCCAAGCAATTTGTTTTAAAGTCCCGGCCAGAGAAGCTGGACCTCGTGACTATATACTGGTGCAGGGCAAAGCAGCTCCACCACCACACACACCAGGCGCGTACGCAGGGGGGTTTCCCGTTGCCCGGAAACCCCCCAAATGTTCCAAACGAGCAACATTTTTGGGCACATTTTGGTAGGGCGTGCGATTGATCTGACGTCCATGACAAGAATGCAAACTTCAACAGATCGTAACTCAGTCAAATCTGGCTCAAT